TAGGGGAGGGACGGTGGGGGGTGGGAAGCTGGGGAGAGATAGCAAGGGGAGAAATGCCAGATGTAGGTGATGGGGAGGAAGGCAGCAAATCACACTGCCACGTGTGTTACTATGCAACAATTTTGCATGTTCTTCACATGTACCCCAAAACCTAAAATGCAATAAAATAAATAAATGGGAAAAAAAAAAAGAAAGAGAACTCTAAAGAATAAAGAAATATCCACAGAATTTACATGTAATATTTATAAGAAATATGGCCGGGCCCGTGACTCATGCCTGTAATCCCAGCATTTTGGGAGGCTGAGGCAGGCGAATCCTGAGGTCAGCAGTTCAAGAGCAATTTGACCAACAAGGTGAAACCCCGTCTGTACTAAAAATACAAAAATTAGTCAGGCATGGTGCCACGCACCTGTAATCCCAGCTGCTCAGGAGGCTGAGGCAGGAGAATCATTTGAACTCGGGAGGTGGAGGCTGCAGTGAGCCGAGATCGCGCCACTGCACTCCAGCCGGGACGACAGAGCAAAACTCCATCTCAAAAATAAATACCTTTTAAAAATTAAAATAATAGTAAAAAAGAAACATTAGAACTGTGCCTTATATATATATATATATATATTTTTTTTTTTTTTTTTAATTTGAGAAGGAGTCTCACCCTGTCGTCCAGGCTGGAGTACAGAGGCACAATTTCCGCTCGCTGAAGCCTCCTCCTGCCGGGTTCCAGCGATTCTGGAGCCTCAGCCTCTTGAGGACCTGGGACTACAGGCACGCGCCAACACGCCCAGCTAATTTTTTGCATTTTTTTTTCTCGTATATGTATATATTTTGACACGGAGTCTCACTCTGTTGTCCAGGCTAGAGAGTAGTGGAGCCATCTCGGCTCACTGCAACCTCCGCCTTCCGGGTTCAAGTAATTCTCTGCTTCAGTCTCCCGAGTAGCTGGGATTTTTACAAGCACCCACCACCACATTCGGCAAATTTTTGTATTTTTAGTATAAACAAGAGTTCACATGTTGGCCAGGCTGGTCTTGAACTCCCGAACTCGTGATCCACCCGCACTGGCCTCCCACTGAGCCGGTCCCTCCCCCCGCCTTATTTTTTTTTAGTTTGGCTCTTATTGCCCAGGCTGGAGTGCAATGGTGCAATCTCGGCTCACTGCAATCTCCGCCTCCCAGGTTCGAGCGATTCTCCTGCCTTAGCCTCCGGAGTAGCTGGGATTATAGGCCTGTGGCACCACGCCCACGTGGTGGTGGGTGCCCGGCCTAACATTTCTGTTTCTATTCGGGGGTACATGTGCAAGTTTGTTGCATAAATATATTGCAAAATGGTGGAGTTTGGGCTTCTAGTGTACCTATCACCCAAATAATTATTTCTTTTATTATTTACTTTTAGACACTTTTCATTTTATTATTAATATTTTAACTTTCTAGTCTTTAACTTTCTCATTATTCACATTGATCTACATCTTCGCTACCTTAGGCACACAGGCTGGGAACATCCAACTTTCCCTAAGGTTGTGGGCGAACAGGCTTCTGGGAAATGGAGTCTCACGTTCGTGGGCTCAGCGCGCATGCTCAGGAGACAGTTTTTTTTGTTTGTTTTGTTTTTTGTTTTTTTTTTTTGTTTCGTTTTGGTTTGGTTTGGTTTGGTTATTTGTTTTTGTTTTTTTTTTCCACCCCTCCCCCCCAACCTTCCGTGCAGGTGCAATCGGCGTAGGCGTTCCCTCTGGGAAGATTCTTTGGCTTCAAGTTGGAGACAGACCCGGAGTCCTCAGGTCTGTCCGCCGCTCAGGTACGGCGCAGATTGGGAGCGACGGGCTATCTGCTGGGATGGGAAAGCGCTGCGCGGCTTGGGCAGCGGGTGGCAGGGCGGGCGGGAAGCGGCGGGCTCCCGGCGGTGGGAACCCTGGCGCCTGCGCGTGAGCCCAGAGGGACGGCGGTGTGGGGGCTGCTAGGTCGAGGGAGGGGTTGGTGGTCTGGTGTCGGAGGTCCAAGGTAGGGCGTGGGGATCGCGGGGCGCTGGAACCGGGGGTCGCGGGCGCAGGTGACTACGGAATCTGAGTGTCCGACCCCTGGCAGAGCGGGCAGTGTGGATCAGGCGGCTGCGGGAGGGGTCGGGGGATACTTGTTGCCGGGCAGCACGGGTGTCAAAGAATTGTCCATTGTGAGAGATTGACAGGTAAGACTTGATTTACTCCTCTGTGAAACCAGGGAATTAATACCGCCTCGGGGTTGTACAGAGCATTCAGGAAAGTGATGGCAGTGGCTGCAGTCAGTCACAGCAACTGCTTTTAGTGGAAACACGTTTCTTACTAGTTTATTCTTATAACCTCGTTCTCAGGTCAGTGTAACTTCCGCTCCAACAAATAAGGAAAGGAGACCAAGAGGAAAGTGTTGTGCCCAGAGTCACAGCTAGCAGCTAAACACACTAGAGGACAAACTCAAACGTTTCTTTCTCCAAATGCCGTGTTTTCATTTACTGTCCTGCTTATAAAAGCCAGCGTTGCTTCTTCCACAGCAGTTAGCAGAAATAATTTAAAGTATGGAGAAATAATGTGAAGGATTGACTCTTACCATGCAGCAGTTCTGTTTTTCGGATTTCCAGATATGTGTTCGGAGCTCTTGGGTCAGACGGCATATTGTTCCCGAGTTAGGTCTGCGCAGTCCAGACTGGTCTATGTTCTCAGTTCTCAATAGCCTTAGTTTGTGTTTATTGAAGGTCTGATCTGAGAGTCTGTGGTACAGAAAATATTCAGAGTTAAACTGTGGCGCTGAGTGATGATTCCAGTTAAAATGAATTTGTCCTTTAGGTGCATTTCTTATCTTCCTTGGAGCAAAGCACCTCTTGTGAAATAAGAAATCTTGAGGAACAAGATCCATATGTAAAAGAACCACTCGAAAATCGGAGTGAGTTTCCCAGAAGAAGCAATAGCTCCCAGAAAGGAGCAGATTTACTAGATTTGCACACAATTCTCAGAATGAGCAAGATTTGATTGATGTAGCCACATCCAGAAGCCATGCCACAGGGAAGGTCTGCACCAGATTTCAAAAGAGAGTAGGAAAGTGGGCTGAGAGGAATGAAGGAGGGGTTAGGCCATGCAGTAAATAGAGGGGATTTGGGAGACATGCTGTGGGGAAAGTGGTTTCAGAGCTAGATCTGAGTAAATTCTGTCTCCACCAATCCCAGTATAGCCCCGATTCTTTTTTACGTTCACTCTTCCCAGATCCCAAGATCTTTGCACTCCATGAATCTGACATGTAAAGATATGCTGATAAATTCCTTTCTTCTGACATTGTAGGACAGTAGTACAAGACAGATTTTCTGTTTGTCTTGTTCAATGTTGGGAAAAATTGTCCCTAAGAATGTAAGTGAATTTTCCTGGCTTTGTGTTAGTGGCAGAACTGAGAGTAGACTTGAGTCTCCTGACACCAAGGCCGGTGCTGATCACATTATCACTGTTGTAATAGACATCTTTAAAAGGCAGCCTTTTGAGAAACTGCATAGACTGTAGAAAAACAGTTTAAGTGACCTTACTTTAAAGTGCTTCCAATCCTTTTTTTTCATAGCTTTGGGTGAGTGCTTTTAACTCAAGGAGTAAAACAAGGGGGAAAATGATCCGTGTTCGATGAAACTTCTGATGAAGGCTTACTTAGCTTTACTTCATTTATTGTGTTGTGATTCATTTAACCATTTTTGTTATAATTGTTTTATTTCTTTGAGAACACAAAGTGGTACACACATGTTTTAAAACATCAGTCGAGAACAGTTACATCCACTCAGTTAAAAAAAAAGACACATCCGAGCTCCATGTGATCATTTCACTGTCACCAGTGGACATATGGGTGCATCTTAATGGGTTTCTTCCTGCCTCTTCTCCAGGTTAAAAGGGATGTTCTCCCACAGAGAGACATTTTACCCAGGTGATGTTGCAGTTTTGTAAGTAGGCAAATCCGAAGTGGCAAAGCATTTCGTATCTCTAGTGACTTCATTTCTTTTTTTAAATCATAGGTAAACCTTCAGAGATTTCTACATTTTTCCAGGATCAGCAGAAAATGAAGAAATCTTATGTTAGTTGATGAAGTAATTCTGTACTTTTACAGTGGATCTTAGCAGGTTGACCCTTATACTTAAAATGGAAAAGTCAAAATACGTACAATTGAAAGTTTGTTAGAACAGGGCCTGAGTATTTTCCTTCCCTTTATTTTTGAGACTGAGTATCACCCTGTTGCCAGGCTGGAGTGCAGTCATGTGATCTTGGCTCACTGCAATCTCTGCCTCCCAGCTTCAAGTGATTCTCCTGCCTCCACCTCCCAAGTAGCTGGGATTGCAGGCATGTACCACCACACCCAGCTAAGTTTTGTATTTTTTTAGTAGAGACAGCGTTTCACCATGTTGGCTAGGATGGTCCTGATCTTCTAGCCTCATGATCCATCTGTCTCGGCCTCCCAAAGTGCTGGGATTACTGACGTGAGCCACTGCACCCAGCCGAGAATTTCCCTTTTTAACAAGATTGCAGGTGATGATGCTAGTTTTCAGGTCTGTAGGCCAATAGCACTGGAATAGCAGATCAGTTGGGCAAAATTGGCGTATATATGTTACATATATGTGTGTATTATGTGTATGTATATATACACATACATAGATATCTGTATCTGTGTGTATAGATGTGTATATATATATATACACGTCACCTGGAGTTAAGACAGTTATCAGATTTGAGTTGCAAATACTTCTGACCTTTCTGATAGCTATGGCAAAGAGAGATGATCTGTTACATGGCTTTCACTGCTGACGAGAATGAAGCTACCTGATTCCTTTTGGTACGTATGTAAAGTGTGATACTGAAAGCTGAAAAAAAAATTTTTTTTTTTGCTCTTTATACAGTGATGGACAGCCTTCTGGTGGCAACCATGAAATAAATACCTGTAATTCTTCAGTAAAAGCAAAAAGCAAGGTACTAAGCAATACTGAGTTAATGAAGCTTTTCAAGGACCACATTACTAGAGCCCATGTAAATGGCTTTCAGATAGTCTTGCTTTTTCTTTTTTCTGGATAAAACTTATAGAGAATAAATGGACTGTTTCAGTTTAAAATAACTTTCCAGAATTCTTAGTCTTGTTCAATCTATAGAATATTCAATTAAGAGACTGTTTCTGGCAAATGTTTTTGCACTTAATCAAATTTTCAACTCATGATTCATGCAGAATAAATTATTCCCTACCATTTATTGGAATTTGGTCTCTAAACATCACTAATGATAAGTTTGTTTTAGAATATATTTAACATAAAATTAACAATTTAATGTGCACAATTCAATGGCATTTAGCATAGTCACAATGTTGCATAACTGTCATCACTATGTAGTTCCAGAACATTTCATCATTTCTAAAGGAAACCTATGCCTGTTAGAGTCATTTTCCATTCACCCCTGAGTGCAGTCCTTCACAACCAGTAATATATTTTTGTCTCCATGGACTTGCCTATTCTGGATATTTTATATAAATGTAATCATATACTATCTGTTTTGCTTGGTTTTTTTTTGTTTGTTTGTTTGTTTTTCGAGATGGAGTCTTGCTCTGTTGCCAGGCTGGGGTGCAGTGGCGCAATCTCGGCTCACTGAAACCTCCGCCTCCTGGGTTCAAGTGATTCTTCCGCCTCAGCCTCCCTAGTAGCTGGGACCACAGGCGGATGCCACCACGCCCGGCTAATTTTTGTATTTTTAGTAGAGATGGGGTTTCACCATGTTGGCCAGGATGGTCTCGATCTCTTGACCTCGTGATCTGCCTGCCTCAGCCTCCAAAAGTGCTGGGATTACAGGCGTGAGCCACTCTGACCGGCCGCTTGTTTTTTTCTGTTTTTGTTTTTGTTTTTGTTTTTAATAGAGATAGGGCAGACTGGAGTGTAGTGGCTCAATCATAGCTCACCGTAGCCTTGAACTCCTGGGCACAAGCAGTCCTCCCACCTTGGCCTCCCAAAGTGGTGGGATTACAGGAATGAGTCACTGTGCCTAGCCAATATGTGTTTTATGTGTCTGTCTTTCACTTAGTATAATGTTTTCAAAGTTCATCTGTATTGTGGCATGTATCAGACCTCATTCCTTTTTATTGCTAAATAATCTCTTACATGGATGTGCCTCAGTTTGTTTATTCATCAGCTGATGGATGTTTGGGTTGTTTATACCTAATGACTATTGTGAATAGTAGATCTATGAATATCTGTATATAAGTTTTTGTTTGAACACCTGTTTTCAGTCTTGTGGGTATCTACCTACAAGTAAAATTGCGGTGTCAAATATTTTGTCTTTTATTGAGGAATCACCAAACTTTTTCACAGCGCTGTGTAATTTTTCATTTCCACCAACGATGTTTGAGGATTACATTTTCTCCCCATCCTTGGCAACACTTGTTATTACTTTTTAAAATGGTAGCCATTCTAGTGTGTGTGAAGTGGTTTCTCATTGTGGTTTTGATTTGCTTTTTTGTAGTGACTAACACACTTGAGCACCTTTTCCTGTGCTTCTTGGCCATTTGTATATCTCTTTTGCAGAAATGTCTGTTCAAGTCCTTTGTCTATTTTTAAATTGGGTTTATTCTAAGAGTATTTTCTGTGTACTAGACTCTTATTAGATAATATGATTTTCAAATATTTCATTCTGAGTTATCTTTTCATTTTCTTGGTAGTATCCTTTGAATTTTGATGAAGTCTGGTGAATGTATATTTTCTTTTGTTGCATATACTTTTGATGTCATATCTGAAAATTTACTTCTATATTTTCTCCTAAGAATGTTATGGTTTTAGTGCTTACATTTAGGACTTCTGTATTTTCTCCTAAGAGTGTTATGGTTTTAGTGCTTACATTTAGGACTTTGACCTATTTTGAATTAATTTTTGTTTATAGTGTGAGGAAGTGATCCAACTTCACATTTATTTGCCTGTGGATATCCAGTTGTCCCAACACCAATTCTGAAAAGACTATTCTTTCTCTCATGTATGATCTTGGCACCCCTGTTGAGAATCAGTTGACCGTAGAAGTATGCATTTCTTTTTGGACTCTTAATTCAGTTCAGTTCATCTATATGCCCGTTTTTGAGCCAGTTCCGTACTGTTTTATTTACTGTAGCTTCGTAGCAATTTTGAACCCAGGAAGTGTGAGTCCTGATTTGTTTATATTTTTGTCAAGATTGTTTTTTTTTTTTTTTTTTTTTTTTTTTTTTTTTTTTTTTTTTTTTTTTTTTTTTTTTTTTTTTTTTTTTTTTTTTTTTTTTTTTTTTTTT